CTTCTTGCTTGCGAGGAAAGCCTTGCAGTGTTTCCTCCAGTGGCCAGCTTGCCACAAAGAAGCATACTACCTTTCCCTTCCTTATGCCACTCTCAGCCAAGAGCAACCTGTCCTTTGGGCTTGGGCTTGGGCTTGGCTTGGGTTTGGCCTTGGCCTTACCCTTGCCGTTACCTTTGCTTTACTGGCAGCAACCAGTAAAACAGGCTTGGACTTTTTCAAATCCTGCTCTACAGTCCCCAGCATGTTCAGAAGTTCTGACAGGGTTTTCTCCATCGTGTTCATATTGAATTCATTATGAACGGAGCATAAGAGTCAGCAAGGATTGCAGAATTAAATCCATTTGTAATTTTGCATCCAAGCCACATCCCAAAGTCTCAAGCCTCTCTATGTGCTCGATACTTGAGCACATGAGGACCAACTTGGGCACCCTCAGTCAATGACTCCAAAAAGTGCTTTCGACACCCTTATACCTCTCATGTTAGAATTGTTTTCAAATAGCTCGTGATGTAGAATAATGGAAGAAGCATCCATATCCTCATGCTGCTTTTGCAGCATGGTGTCATCGTGCTAACATCAAGCATTGAACGCTATCAGCATCATCAAGGAACTTTTGATAAGTATCCTTAACTTCCTGAGTGGAATTAGGATCAGGCTCAGCCTGTATGGCTTTTCAAGGATTACAATTTCTTTTCTGACTTGAGTATAATCCAAAGATACGATACCAGTCTGAGAATTAGATCCATCAAACCTGTTTTCTTTTTCAATTATTGGTCGCAGTTTATATTCTCATTTTGGTGAATCTACAATTGCATAAAAGATAAAGTTATTATAAAGTTCATTATTATTTAATATGGTCTTTTATTAAACGATGCTCCCACTATTTTACTCAAGCCAATAGCCCTCACTATTAACTCGGAAAAGCCCGTTGGCTTTCCTAGTGGACCAGATCCCATCCTTCCCATTTCAAACCTTCGCTTTGGCGAACAAGCCAAATGAGTTGATTAGGTAGGCAACAAACTTAATCCACACCAGTTGATAGCTTCCACTAATCAACCTCAAATGTGAAAAAGCCAACAAGCCAATCACACAATCCAATGGCTCCAACCATTGTCCTCAAGTGTGATTCTCAGTATCAGTAGAATGGACACTACATGTCACCACGTACACTTATATGTGTACTGCTCTACTATGCCTATGACGCGTTTATCAACCTTCGCTTGGCAAACAAGCAAAACCGTAATTTTTAAGTTGACCCATCACCATTAAGGAAAACTCCAATGCATTTTAACCTCCCACTGGTAGAAGTACCCTTCGCTTTGGCGAACAAGGTTTCGACGAATAGTGGTTTTGATTAAAACCATGGTGATGGAAGGCTTACGTGACTTAATATACTTTAATTGAGGGTTTGTTATTTAATGTCTCACAGATTATTATCTTTGTTAGAATGACATTGCTTGGCATGTTATTCAAGATTCAACCTTAGCATGCATTCTATAAAAATTTAAAGTGCCGGTACATGGCCCAACTAAAACCGATTTCCTCGAGCCTAGAGGAATCAGTGATCACCTAGGGGTCCTGTAATAAACATCTTGAGTCTTCAAGTATGGTTGCATAGTCCTTTGTTTCGTCTTTGATTACATTACAAAAACATCATTCTAAATTTGCAATAATAATAATTATACAAATTTCTTTACATCAATAAATTTAAAAACCTCGATTTACATTCGAGGGAATTAGATGGAAAAACGTACATTGAGAAGAGGAGATAGGCAGGACACGCAGGCCCTATTTAAAAAATTACAACCATACATACCCAAAATTACTTTAAAACATTCACCCTTAGGTCTAAGGCTCAGGTACCGGCACCATGCAATATACAAAAAACCTACAAGACATACATTTCAAAAACAATCTATTTTTGAATTGGGTGGGTATATTAATTACCCTCTTAAATGTGCAGATGTACATTGGCTTTACAAGTTATTAAAAACTATAGATTAGTCCCTTCGCGAAAATAAAGAATTTGGGAAAGCTACAGACTTGGCGAGAATTTACAGTGGCACTTCGCCGCGGCAAAGCTTTACCTAGAAACCCCCAATTCATACAGTTCACGTTTTTTGCAGTTTTTATGTAAAAACACGAATCCAAATTAAATCAAACGCACATACGTTCAACCAGGATATTAACCACCCATATAACATTCATCACACACTTATTAAACCAATTTATCAATTGATTCATTCAATCAACAGTAGATTTACAGATTTTTCAGATTTAACAAAATCTAGGTTTTTAATGGCAGATTCATCAAGGCAACATGTTATCAACAAACATATGTAATCAACCTTCATAAAAACGTAAAATCTAGTACCCTAGGCTCGGATACCACTTGTTAGGAAACAACCCGGTTGCTCAGCGGAAAACAAAAAATTTTATACAACCGTAGATCGTTCCTTAAAGCCCAAAATCAAGGCACAAATTTTACAGTTTATATATAATATCAAGAATCTGCAGAAAAAGTAAATCAAAGTTTAGATTCATACCCACGTTGAGGATCCACCAATATGTCTCTGAACGTGTTTGCTACCAATCCAAGTGTAGGATCGAACCAAGAAGTCCACATGAAGACAACCACGAAGAACCAAGAGGGATTTGCTAGATCCTCCTTGGCCTTAAGAAATCAAGAAGAAAAGAATATATTTTTTTCAATCAAATAGTGAAAGTGGCGTGGGAGAGTGTTGTTAGGCCGTTTGTGTGTTTTCTTCTTTAATTGAAAATGAACTAATAAAAACCTTACTTAATTTCACACACACATTTTCTTTTATAGGCAAACTAAGTTGCCCTATTCCCACATGGAATGGGCTTGGGCTCCAACCCAAACACCCCATGTTGCCAAACACTCCCAATTAGATATTTTAATTTATTTCATCATTATCTCAATTAAAATCAATTAATATTTAATTAACATTTAATAATAATGATGATTTAATTAAATATGTGCGAACACACATTTAACCGTAATTTCACTTATTTAATTTTTCTAACAAATTAAATAAAGGCTACGACCTTAGCAAATTTAATTGCACTTTGAAATTATCAAAATACCCTTTTGCCTAAAAAGATGAAAACGCCCTTCTTTCTTCTTGGCTCTTAAATTATCTTCTATGTGTGTGACCCATAGGCTCCTCATCATATCGGCAGTGTATAGTATCGCGATTAACACCAATTAATCGTCTTACTAATACACAGACCAAGATTGGCCCTTAGCAAGGCATCATGGCCACCTGATAGATTCGGATTCAGCAAAGTAGCTACCTGTCAACGATATGGTTACCGTACAATTCGATCCTTTCATCATACGTTATCTCCACAAGACAAAGGCATAGAAATAGTGTCAACCTCTGGTTACTCTCGATATTATGTATTCAGTTTCTAGACCAATGACCTATATTATAATCCGCATAGAGCAACAACTCAATCCCATTGTGGCCATAGTTTTAGTGTCATTGTCATATACTGAATTGCGCCGTGAGATAACTTCTCTCGTATCCCGTAGTGATGAATCATCTGTCAATCCACCACAGTCTTGATACACTCCTTGATGCAGCCAATCACCACCGTATTGACAGCTCTGAATAGAACTGCATTAGGCTAGTGTCAAACTACACCAATCAGTGCACAAGGCGTTCCGGTGATCTCAAGTCTAAGGATCATCTGCACCACCATTCGTTAGAGGATTTGTTCCATAGACATTGGGGTTACCATCCATATGGAATCCTCTGGTGGGTCAGTCTAGTAAACTTGCTGTGGTATATCCCCCTACAACAAGCACCCATGTGTTGCACCAGGTTGTCACCAAACAACCTTGACAAGTGAGATCAGTCACTGCCTTTCGACAGGGACGTTCAACACTATGATAGCCTTACCGTATTATCTATGCCCTTACTTCAAAATATTACTGGGGGCTATGGACGTTTCTAGAATGGCCACCATATGTGCTCATAGGGTTCTCACTATCAAGATTTGAAACACTTGATACCCTCGTCACAGTTCTACCATTCTAAGGACATATGTCAAAACATATTGGAATAATAATGATTTACGCGATATAGAATAAAATGCCTTTTATTATTGATTAATGAACATTATTACAAAGAGTCAATTCTACAATAATTGATTCGCTCTAGGGCATCTACTCTAACAGATAAATGAGATGGACCTCCAAAATTGAAATTCATCTTTGTAGATATATTAGTTGAATGATTTGGAAGTTGATTTGGTGTGAGCTTTTATAGTTGAAGAAAATAATATTCTAGATAAAAAATAATAATTCAAAAAGATGTATTGTCCATTCAAGCTTTTGAGATTTGTGGCTTATTCAAAAAGAAGTATTGTCCATTCAAGCTTTTTAGATTTGTGGCTTATTCAAAAAGATGTATTGTCCATTCAAACTTTTGAGATTTGTGGCTTATTCAAAAAGATGTATTGTCCATTCAAGCTTTTGAGATTTGTGGCTTATTCAAAAAGATGTATTGTCCATTCAATCTTTTGAGATTTGTGGCTTATTCGAAAAGATGTATTGTCCATTAAAGCTTATGAGATTTGTGGTGTGTTGTCCATTCAAGCTTTCAATTCAAACTTATGTTATAAAAGAGCATACAACACATTAGTTTTGAACACATCTCTTCTATTTCCTCTTAGAAAAAAAAAGCATATATCTTCTTCATTTGTGTTACAAAATGACTGCACAACAATGTTCTTCGTACGCAAATGAAGAAGACATGCAACTATGTCATATTTATCTTGATGTTTCTCAAAACTCGATTTTAGGTATAAACCAATCTAGTGATCAATTCCGGTCTCGAGTTGAGCTTGACTACAATAGTTCCAAACCCGTGTTTCCCACTCAAGTTTGAAACAAAAGATCTTTGCATTGTCGAATGCAACTTATCTTTAAAGCTATTGGAAAATTGAGGGGATGCGTACGTCAAATTGAAAATATGAATCCAAGTGGTGCTTCTGAGCAAGATATTGTGAGTATTTGTTACATTTCATTCAAGCTTTTTTTTTTATTTTTTATCTAATTGATTTTAACGTTATATGTATATTGTTTTGTAGATGATTCAAGCCAAAATGTTACTAGCACAAGATAAAAGTTACAAGAAAGGTTTCAGATTTGATCATGTGTGGCCTATACTTAAGGATATTGAAAAATTTATAGATAATGTTAATGCCGCAGAAGTATTTCAAAGGCAAACCGGTAGGTCGGTATCATAAGAATCAGAGACTCCCACTTCAAAGTCTCCCCAATCGGTGTCTTGTGACATGTTGTCGTATTCTCTAAACATAAATGATGAAGATATTGGGGGTAGTTCAGCTTAATGACCCATTAGGGTGAAGAAAGCAAAATTTAAAAGGAAAAATGATGAAGAAGTTTCAAACAGTATTGAAACTATTTAATAAGAAAATCAACAGCTCACTGCTATTTTCAATCGGGGCAACTCAGCTAGCGCACAAAATTATGAAATCCAAATGAAAAAATTGGCTTTGGCAGAATATCGAGAAGATAACAAAATTTTATTCAAGGATTTGAATTCCATAACCGATCCAAGCCTATGTTAGTTTTTTCAAAATGAGCAATCAAGAATTATGCAAAAAAGAGTTCAACAACAAGGCCAAGGATCTTAAAATAACTCTAGTTCTTTCCAATATTTTGATGATCTTAGAGGATCCGGAACTAATCTACCGCAATACTAAATTGTTATTTTAGTTTATGTTGTATTTTCTTTTAATTTTAGTGTTTTTAAATTAGTGTTAATTTTTATTTTGAGTTATTGTAGTTTAATATTTGCATTGAATAAAGTTTTGTTTTTAATTTTTCATCATTTTTTGGATTATATAATTATTATGAATTTATTATTATAAATAATAATTAAATTAACTTAAATACAAATAACAAAAAAAATATATATATTTTTTACTGTTTGAACAGTGCCACGCCAAATTGGTGTGCATGAGCAGTGCTACACTAAATTTGGTGTGGCACTGTAGCTGGGCACCAAATTAGTGCAAAAACTGGTGCTGGATTGGAGGTAGGTTTCACGCTATTTTGGTGTTTTTACACCAAAATAGCATTGGGTTGGAGATGCCCTAAATCAACCCATTTTTAACTTGATTCAATCAACGAAGGTTCAAAATGGAATTGATGGGATCTTGGCCCACTAAGAAGACCAACGAGCCTTCCCGAGTTTAATAGTGAGGGCTATTAGAACTTGAGTAAAATAGTGGGAGTGTTTAATTAATTAAAAGACCTTGATTAATTAAATCATAACATGATATTAAGTCATTTTATTTTACACTTGTAGACTCACAAAATGACAACAAACAACCTATCATTGCGATCAATCATCGAAAAGGAAAATAGGCTGGACAGTTTTAACTTCAAGGATTGGTATAAAAATCTTTGGATTGTACTCAAATCCGAGAAGAAGTTATATGTCTTTAATGAACATGTTCAGGAAGCACCTATTCTTAAAGCTACTCAAGAGGAGATAGATACTTATGCTAAGTATCTTGGTGATGATAACAATGTCCAATGTCTCATTTTAGCATCGATGAAGCCAAATCTACAAGAGCAGGATGAACACTTGGACACTCAATCTATTATGACTCATCTTAAGGAGCTATTCTTGAAGTGTGCTAGGCATGATCATTATGATGCATCTAAGGCATTGTTTAGATGTCGAATGGTAGAGGGATTCCAACTTGGGCTGTATGTACTCAAGATGATTGGGTACATACAAAAGCTTGAAACTTTGGGTTTTGTCATGGATGTAGAACTATCAGTGGACCTTGTTTTGTAGTCCTTGCTTGAGACCTTCTCACAATTCATATTGAACTTCAATATGAATGGTATGGAGAACATCTTCTCCAATCTCCTAAATATGTTGACGACAATAGAGTAAGACATGAAGAAGTCAAAGCCAGTGATGCTAGTTGATGTTGCCGCTAGAAGAGGCAAGGGAAAGGGCAAGGGAAAGGCTAAGTCCAAGCCCAAGTCTAAGTACCAGTCTTAGGATGTCTTGAAGCCTGATGGTGGCATGAGCAAAGATGGAAAGGTAGTTTGCTTTTATTATGGCAAGCCTAGCCACTAGAAGAAACACTACAAAGCCTTCCTAGCAAGTAAGAAGGAGAATTGTGCTTCTTCTTCTAAAGGTATGTTCATGATTGAGATTAACTTATCTCTTAACACATCTTTGCTTATTGACACTGTATGTGCATCTCACATTTGTACTAATGTGCATGGAATGTGGTAGAGTGGATTGCTTGGCCCAAGGGAGGTAAACCTACATGTTCGGGGCGAAACTAGAGTTACTACTTTAGGTGTAGGTGTTTATCAGTTATGTTTGCTGGTGTGCTGTCGCAAGCAACCAAAATTAAAACCTAAAAACACATGTAGTAGTGTGAGTAATGATCGTTCCCACGGAGAGTGTCTAGCCGAGTTTTATGTTACGTGAACAAGGCTGGGGGGGGGGGGGGGTGGGGGAGCGTTTGAGTAAAACGGAAACAATTTCAGGAAAAACAATTCAAATTAAATTATCGAAATCAATCAAAATAACAAACCTTGGTCTAAGTCAACATCCACCATCGAAATTTTACAACTGATCATCGATGCAATTATATATCAATTGTTACTTTGAGTATTCACCGTTGGAACTATTTTCCTATCTCTCCTTAGTTGCAGTTAATTGGGAAACAAGCGATCTGTAACAACTGCTGTAAACTAGTACAATGCATGCATAATAACAATAGAAAATTGGGCCCAAAAACTTTCTTTTCATTATAAGTCATATGTCTTTTATACACAATGAATACTGTTTACAAAAAGTCATTTTAGAAGACAAAAATAGGGGAAACAGTGTAGCTATTGTTCTTCGCTTGCCGACGCTGCTCCGACTACATCATCACCTAGATCCTGCATCCACAAAGGAAAAATAATGGGGTGAGCAGAAAATAATGCTCAGTAAGTAAAACCCTCTATCAATCTGTCCCCGTATGTATTACTCTTAATTCTTTCCTTACACTATTACTGTTTCTATTTCTGCTTCTACTAAACGTCATGGCCTCATCTTACTGGAGGTACGGTCGGATGACGTTCACACAGCACCATCTCACTCTCCATGACCATCGGGTGGAATTCACACAGTACCAACCCATTCTTAGTGACTACCGAGTGGGGATCAGGAAGCACCTACCCGGTTTTCGTAACTATCGGGTAACGATCACCAAGCATTAACCCATCTCTAGTCACTGTCGGGTGATGATCACAAAGCATCAACCCACTTCTATTAAATGTCGGATGATGATCACAAAGCATCAACCCACTTCTAATAAATGTCGGATGATGATCACAAAGCATCAACCAACTTCTAATAAATGTCGGATGATGATCACAAAGCATCAACCCCTTATCTAATAACTAACCGGGTGGTGGTCACAAAGCATCCACCCGTTTCTAATACTTATCGGGTGACGATCACAAAGCATCAACCCATCTCTAATGGCTATTCGGGTGGTGATCACAAAGCATCAACCCGATTCTCATAACTGTCGGGTGATGATCACAAAGCATCAACCCATCTCTAATGGCTATTTGGGTGGTGATCACAAAGCATCAACCCGATTCCCATAACTATCGGGTGATGATCACAAAGCATCAACCCATCTCTAATGGCTATTCGGGTGGTGATCACAAAGCATCAACCCGATTCTCATAACTGTCGGGTGATGATCACAAAGCATCAACCCATTTCTACTACTCTTCTCATTCACTCTATTCTAGCATTTTTCATTCTCTCTACCCTTAGAGTAGTTGCATCCACCAAGTTCTCTACTCATAGAGTAATTGCATACACAAAGTTTCCTACTCTTTCTTAGGTCACTTTTCAATGCACAATTAGTGCCTATGGATGGTTCATCTCCACTAATGCACTTATGAAATGCCAACATGCAATGTTGCAAGAATTAAGGTTCACTACTCATACTCAAACCTCTATTAGACATTTCATCAAACAACTCAAGTGCATTATAAAACTCTACTATAGCAATGATTCTAAATCTTTCTCTAACCATCCAAAATGGGGAGAAACCCCCTCACATAGCCACATAACCTGTCAAAGAAAGACACTTCCAAAAAGGATTTCTCAATATCCTTTAATTCAATCTCAAACTACCTTTCCAACCCACAACTCATTTCTTATATTTGAAAGGCATAAACAATCACAAAGCACTAGAAATCTCTATTTAAGCCTCAATAGCATGGCATATAACATGTATATAACACACATACATAAGTGCTATCAAAACCCTAATCAAGAAAATTTCCAAATCTCAACTTGGGTTGGGGTTTACTTACCTTGTTATGGAGAGATTTCACTAGCTCTTCCTTTCACTTGATAAGCTTGGCTTTTTCTCTACTCTTAAACAAATGAACAAAAACCCTCAATAATCAATAAATACACAAAACTCACAAGACTTCACAACCAAAGCAAGAATCCTTACCTTAGGATGCCTTAGGTTGATTTTCTACCCTTAATCACTCCAAAAGCCCTTAAAACTCTTTGATCAAAAGAAAGAGAGTTTGAGAGGAAGCAAGAGAAGAAAGTGGCGTTGGAGAAGAAGAATGAGGGGTTTGCAATGTCTTAATTCCTTTTAATGAAATTTATACACAAGCCTTCCCATTTTGCCCTTACTCTTCTTTGGGAATTCCATCTATATCCTTTGATTCATTACAAACAAACCCCCCACAATAACATATTCTCCATGAAAAATCCTTTCAATTTACTCCCCACTTTTCCTGCTAATTAGGGGTAGAATAGTCAAATTGCCCTTAGGGAAGAAAATATCTAAAACTTAATAAATATTTTGGTCGGCCCGTCGCCGCGGCTAGAAAACTTCTGTTGCCGCGATGAAACTGTCCAGCAAGTTTCCCCGTGGCTACAACACCTCTTCGCCGCGGCGAAGATTCTTCTTCGCCCCGGCGAAGACTGAAACACTAAACTTCTTCTATTTTCAACCAATTTCAGGGCAAGTATTCAATACAACACTCAATCAAAGGTCAACCAAACAATATTACCAAGAAACCAACTCAACTAAGAGCAAAAGAAGAACAATAACTACGTACCTCAAGTGGGGCGTTACACGATCTAATTAATCTTACTACTAAACAACCCAAGACAAGCGCTAAAGGTTTAATCTAGTGGCAGCCTTAAGAACTAGAGAGATCGATGAAGCTAAATAACACAAACACAAGCGGTTGTATTTAATTCAGTCGAGTGTTCTTCTTAGGATTTAATAATTCTTGACGCAACAAATTCTTAACTCTTAGTTACTCACAAATTAGAGGGATCAAACAATTACAGATTTGATATCTAATTTAGCAATAGATTGCAACAAATAATAAACTAGTAGGCCTTCTAGTAATTAAATGAAACAATCATGAAAATAGGCATAGAAGAACATCCAATACTCAAAACATATATTGATCACTAAAAAAAAAAAGACCAGATTAGATCTCACAGTTTTATTGATTCCAAGGCCTTCGTTTCCTTCGACCAAGTTATGAAAATTTAGCCGCTCATGGCTATCATGAAAAACTCAAAAGAAGTTCAAGAAGAGGAAAAGGAGAGGCGTGTGTGTTCTGATCTCTCTCCCCCCTTTAAAATATCCAATTCAAATCTTTTTAATCTACTAAATCTCCTAAAAATATTCTAATATCCTAAAATAACATTTATCCTAATCTGATTAAAAATAAAGTCCTAATATAAAATAGGAAAGTGGTGTTTCCAGCTGTAACTTGCGTGCAACAGGTCTTCAAAACTTCCAATAATAAACTGCCTATTTGACTTGCAGGACAAGGAGGAATGTTCCAGAACGTCAGCAATGCAGGTGTGTCAACTTCAAGCCCCATTACAACCTTGATACAGTGAGTATCTCTCCAAACTCGAAAAATTAAAGTTGTATATCTCTTTCCTCTAGTTCCATAGCATTTTGAATCATCTCAATCGGAGCTAGGATGAGAGAGTTATGCTCAGATTACGAAGCAATGTTGAAACTATTTGAATTCACCTAATTAGTTTCGTTTTGCATTTAATGCCTCCATTTGCATCCTAAATCAAAATAGAATAATAATGAGTACATTTAGGCAACAAATAAGTATAAAAGACTAGACATTAAGGGGGGTAAATATGACATTTTACATTCTCATCATTTGCCTTCGGGCCTTATCTTGGAACTAATAGATTGTTATTATGTACTTTCGGTTTTGAAGAATATTATTTATGTGTTCGCTTTGGACGGTTTTGGATATTATTTTGATATATCTAATGGATTGTTGTCTTTTAGTTTGAATGATAATTATTATGGAAATGCTAAGATAAATAAAGTTTATATGTTCTAGATATGGATAAAGGGATATTCAATCTTGAAATTAAGAAGTCAAGCACGACGATTTGAACTAACCATTTCTCTAGCATTGTAGACTAGGTCATGTTAATCAAACTCACATAGCAAAACTCCATAAGGATGTAATCTTGGACCCATTTGATTTTCAATCTTATGAGGTATGCGAGTCATGCCTTTTAGGTAAGATGACCAAGTTGCCTTTCATTAGCAATAGTGAAAGATCTATAAAACTATTAGGCATCATCCATAGTGATGTATGTGGTCCAATGACAGTTTAGGCAAGAGGATAATATTCTTACTTCATCACATTTACTAATGATTATAGTAGATATGGGTATGTCTATTTGATGACACATAAATCTGAATCGTTTGACAAGTTCAAAGAATTCAGAGATGAAGT